ATAGTGACTAAAAATACTCTTCGCAAAAAAAAAAACAAACAAGTTGGCATGCCTTTTGTTCCTCAATTTCTCCTTCAATACCTTCATCAGTTGTTTGGCGTAATATTACAAAATTTCGCTGTTGTTTTTCATTTTGTTCTTACAGTGGTGTCATTCCCTCTCAATCTATAAACACTATTCCAGATAAATTTGCCCCCTCTTCTGCTTCTTTGAGAGAAGAGCTACCTCAAAGTATTCCATGTGATTTTTTTCGATCCCTTAGAACGTCCATTTTCTTTATATGAATTAAAGTTTGTCCTTTCTCACGTTCACGATTCAGCTCCTGCAGCCAAATTTAATTATCAAATTTTATCCTACTATTTAAATATCATTAACGTTTTGTTTGACATGGGCTTTGTTCCTGACTCTTGGCGGACTCAAGTAATTATTCATATCTTGAAACCTGACAAAAATCCTAACGACGGCTCTTCCTATCGACCGATCGCTCTATCCTCAACTCTCATTAAAACCTTTGAACATATGATCATGAACCGTCTTGAATGGTATGTAGACAGTCATGGATTGTAATCAAATACTCAATATGGATCCAGGAAAGGTAAAAGCACATATGACAGTCTTTCTATCTTCACCACAGATATTAGACTAGCATTTTCGAGAAATAAATCGGTCCTTGCTGCTTTCTTTGACATTTCTTCTGCTTTTGACTTAACGTCCTTAGAGAAAAGATGTTTAAGCTTAATATATCCAAAAAACTAACAAATTTGATTATCAATTTATTTCTAGATCGATATATACATATTAAAATTGATGATGATCTAAAATATACTCGAAAGGTTCTCAAAAGCCTTTCACAAGGCTCTGTTTTAAGTTATTTGTTATACAATATTGATACGTCAGATTTAGACCAGTCTATTTCAAAATGTAGAATTTTGCAATACGCTGATGATATCTTAGTTTATGTTAATGATAAATGTATAGAATCCTGCGCTAAAGCGATGGAACGAGATCTCCTCTCTATGGCGTCGTGGTTAGATGATCATGGGCTAGAACTTTTCCCAAATAAAAGTAATACAGTAATTTTTTCGCGCAAAAGAGTTTTACCCACAGACTAATATGATACTTACGTATCAGACAGGGCACTCCCATAGAACAAAAGTGAACTCGTCTAAGCTCACATATCATGTATGACAAGCTGTCATTGACAGCTTTTTTTTTAATTTGCCATAGTCACGATCAAAGCGTGGCACGATACAGCCTATTTTTATAGGACCTAAATAAAAATACTCATTTTTATCTATTGTTCTAATTTATACGAATTCTTAAATAATGATTAGATGGATTCGATTCGAGCTTGTTAGAAGGGGGAATGTATAAGAAAAAAAAAACACTGTGTTATTTAAACATTTTTTTATTTCTTAATTTTGTTTTAAATTTATTAAAAGCTTTTAATTGCATTTGAGGCAAAGCTTTGTTTTCTAATCTTAGGACATCTGTACCTTTCAATATTTTATTTATGACATTGCACCAATTAAACACTGTCAATCTTAAGGTTAATGTTAAAAAGTGTTCAGAAACAGCATCCTTATGTAGTTCGCAGTTTATAAAGTCAAACAAATACTTAGATTTGATGAGAGTTTTTATATTTTTTATAATATAACACTGTTGAGGTTTATTTTCTAAGTATTTGTTTGCTTCTTGTGTTATTATCTCAAAAAATCTCACGGCATGTTCCGAAGGGTAGATCAATTTGTTTTCTTTTATACTTTTAAATTCTTTAAGGTAAATCCAATTATTGATAGAATTTTTATCATTATTGGATTCCTTATTTGTTAAATCAGCTTCACATTGCCGACAATTTTTTTTTAGTATATTTCTTATGACCCACCCAGCGGTATATGCACGTGAGTGAACATTTATTTTTTCCTGCTTTGCTGAACTTTCACTTTCTACCCAACTCGATAGCTCAGAGGACTCAAATGAATGGATTTGCTCAGTATTATCACATTTTTCTTTTGTACAAAATAATGATTTTAATTTTAATAATTGTTCACTAGAATCCTCTTCACAATTATAACTATCTGAGTGGAACTTTATAAACCTTGTAATTAACAGTGATCTAAAGGTGCTTTTGAATGTTTGGCAATTTGGATTCGTATTTCTAAAATTGTACGCACGCATTTGTCCAAAAAAGTTTTCAATAGGATCAGAATTTAAATACCGCGGGCGCAAAACTTTAATATTTTTTCTACTTAGATATTGCCATAATCTCTGGTAACTTTTGAGAGTTGTTATCCAGTTTTTTAATGAAGGCACAGATGTTTCTTTACCTTGATTATCTATAAATTTTATGCTTTGCAGTTTTAGGATTGCTTCCCTCCAAAATTTGTGATGTGAGGATTTTTCCGTTACTGCCTGTCTTAAAGCTTTTCCTTTGGATGTTTTATTGTATGAAGTCCCATTAACTGAGTAAAAGAGGTCGTCGAAGAACGATATAATTTCGGCTGTATTTTTCAAAGTCGAGCTTACTTGCTTTCCATCTGCATAATGAGCTAAAAAAATTAGGCCACATATAGAATTTGTTCATTGTTCAATTCAATTTTAATTTCTTTCAAAAAGTTTAAATTTAGCTTTGACTTTCCAGCAAGCTTAAAATATTGTGCCAAATTTAGCTTAGGAACTTACAAAACTGAGCAGTATATGATTACGTAGCAGCTACTGTCTTGCTAAACACTCTAGTGCAATTTTTAACCTGAAATATAAATAAAAACAAATTAGAAACTAGTAACAGAAAAATAGCACATTTTTTTACTATTTCACAATGTGAAGAACATACAAAATACATAGATATTTAATAAAATAATATTTACCTTCATCTTTTTAATTTTCTCTGGAATCACATGTTCATCATTAAATTTATGTAAAAGCCTCATCTGTGCAAGATTGCAGTCTGTTTTATATACTTCTACAATGTCACTCCACTTCGAAATCTTTTCATTATATTTTATGTTTTTATTTAGGAAATATATTGTATGAAGATTACCTGCCGTGGTTTTACCTGAAATCCAGGTTCGCATTTTTGATTATCCGCTCGTAAATATTCAGCAGGTTAAATTCCTTGGTGTAATTCTTGATAATAAATTATCCGGCATGCCTCATATTATTTACACTCAAAAAATGCGAAAAAATATAAACTTTCTAAGAGCTTTGTGCGGGGTATGGTGGGGCGCTCATACATATTCTTAAAAATTAATTTATAATGCAATTATAAGAAGTCGATTAGATTACAATCAATAAAATATTGCTATCTTTTTAAATTAAAATCAAGCGTGATATTTTCAAATTCTCTTAGTTCTTTACAAGCATTTTTATGCAATCCTTTCTATGACATTTCCCGCAATCCTTTAATATTTGAAATATTAGAAACTTCTATTCCTATACCAATTCCAAAACATCAACATTTCTCTCGTTTGGATTCCGAGTCATATTGGTATATCTGGTAATGAATATGCTGACAAACTTAGAAAACAAGCTATAGTCTGTGGGGATACTTTTTTATTTAAAAATTATTGCTATGACCTTTTAAGCACTACGAAATTAGTATATAAAGATAGATGGTCAAAACAATGAAACAAAACCAAAAATACAAAAGGCTGTCACTATGTTAAAATTCAACCCATCATTCCTTCTAAGCCTTGGTTTTTTAAGTTATCCTTAAATAAGAAACATACATCAATGTTATGCGCTTGAGTAATTCGGTTGACCTTGCTAGGCTTCATATTAAAAATTCTTCAATATGTGAATGTGGTTTGGATATTGGTGACCTCGAGCGTATTTTCTTCTCGAGTCCTTTATATGATCATACTTCATTTATTATTGAACACTTTGGTAAATCTTAAAATTCCTCTACTTACAGAAATTCGTTCTCTTCTAATCTTTTCTAAAAAAAGTAAAAATGTTTTCAACTGTCTTATGGAATTTTTAGATTTAAATAATATTAAGTTATAAAATTTTATTCATTATTTAGCAATCAATCGTCTTTATTTAGTATCATTTATTATTTTAAATGTTGTATTGAATTTAGTATTATTTTAATTCAATATAACATCCATCATTTTTTTTAATAAACGTTAGTATATGGAGTGTAGAAGTAAGGAATACAGACTGTGTATTAAAAAGTGTCCATAGAAAACCTTTAAATAAGGATGGCGCCACTAAAACTACGGGGTATACTTTAAAGAATGCACCGAAAAATATTAGTGGGATAGACGACTTGTCGAGGTTATATTTACTAAATAAAATTATTTTAGATTTTAGAGCTACTGTGCAGTTTAGCAGCACACTTAAACCGTCGACAACTGCTAAGTTCATTTCATCCCAGTAGCGACTCCAGCGCTGTTGTGGAGAGTTTTTGAGCTGTTATTTACTGCTTGCAGATGGTCACTTTTTCAACTATTCTACTATGGGAGTTTGTACTCCTTGCTTCTACACTCCATAGTTCAGCACAAGTCACTTATGATTCATTATTATAGTATTCTATGGTTCTTAACATTATGATTTCGGTTTTTAATCAGAATCGTAGTTTTTCTTATTTTGTCCGTCCTTTCATTACAAGTTACAAGTATTTTTATTGATGGAGGTTGGCAGTAATTGTTAGGTTGCCATATAATAAAATAAAAAAAAAATGACGAAACGAGACTGCCATAAATTACTGACTATGTAGGAGACTGCCATAGAGGAAAGTAATAGAGACTGCCTTCGTCATCCTGTCATCGTTTGCGTGTGCTGAACAGAAATAATTCATGTTACAAATTATTGCAGTGGGGGTGCTAAAATTATGTTGATTTTTAACAAGTGAAGAATAATATTGGTGATGTTGACCTTAGGCTTATTGTTATTCCACAAAAGAACTCTAAAAGAACATACTTTTACCGTAGTAATACGTCAAAAATCGAGAAAGCTTCAAACGTGTTTGAAGCTTTCGGATCCGCATTAATGGAACTATGAACCTGGACCCTCTAACGTTTAGCTTATCACAAATCAATTACCTTGTTATAAATTTAAGTAAGAAAAATTTCAAACAGACGAGTCAAGAGTTGTCACAGGTAAGATATACCTAATTGATTTTCAGTCATTCTTTGTTTTCAATTGTCGCCATGTTGTGAACTATTTGCGAGTTCGCCACGAGCCTATTTAAAAATGAAACTGAAATCATTCTTTTTTATTTTACTTAAAATGTCTTGTATAAATTATTGTACAACGACCTGTATGTTTTTAAATCGTTTTATATTACGCAAAGTTATTTGTGTATTGGTAAATCTTCGGTGGATCCTTTTTTTTTTTTCACATATTTACATAATTTATAGTCAACCAAATCTAAGAAATACCTTTTGACGTTTCACATTAATCATTCCGCAATAACTTTGCACAAGCGTACTTGCACGATTTAAAATAACCTTTTACGTAAATCCTAAGAATTATGAAGTTATCTATATTTCTTTCTTCTTTCTTTCGTGGCGGTTTGATAAAATTCGCCAATGACGTATTGAGTGGAAAATGAAAGCTTATGAGTTTAATTAAAATAAGAGTCTGTGATAATACAAGGATTCAGTTTTCCTCCGAGAATTTTGACAAATCTATTTGTTGAATTACCTAGAACAAATATGACAAACACAGGTGTTAGACTCTTACCAGTATGTTAAACGTGACAAGGATTTAAAGTTTCATATTATTAGTATTAATAAAATCACATAAAATATACACAAAAGGAGTACTGGTATATGTTAAAAGAGAATTAAAATCTATATGTCGAGGAATATAAGGAGGAAGGTAATCATAAAGGGAGGAGGATAATTTGGGACAGTTGAAAAAAATATGGTTTGTGGAACCTTCATCTAAGCCACGTTCACACAATGAGCTATCCCTTACTCTGATTTTTGCCAGATGTGCATGTGTACAAGCGTGTCCAATTCTTAATCTACAAATGATAGAAGTTGCATGTTTATTTGCTTTGTTAAATTTAAAGAACCAGGGCTTGGGATTAATAACCTCTTGGATGGCAGCATAGTGCTTACCTTTAACATTTTTGGAAACATCCCATAATTTATTCCAATTTTCATTCAGTTTCCTTTTAACTAGCAAAAGTAGGTCATGTGAGTAAATTAAATTTTGTAGAATGCCTTTAGCAATTGCATTTTTACCGAGTACATCAGCTGTTTCGTTACCACGGATACCACTGTGGCCTCAAATCCAGGCCACTGAAACATAGATTCCTTTAAGATGGCATCTGAATAGGGTATTTTTTATTGTAAGAATTAGTGGAAATTTATGTTTGTTATGGAATTGATTGGACAAAATAGCTACCAAACAACTTTTGGAATCTGTGAAAATAACTGTTTTATTAAGATTATGTGACTCTACATATAACAAAGCTTCACTGCAGTTGCTTCACCGGTAAAAGTGGAGGATAGTGAGGGGCATTTAAAGTTAAGAATGATTTTGAACTTAGGAATCCAAACAGCAGCTCCAGTATAGTCTTCATCAGACTGTTTTGAAGCGTCTGTGTACATGACAAGCCAATCTTTAAAGGTGTTTTCTATAATTTCTTTTAATTTCAAATTTGCCATTGGAGAATCCTTTTCTATACTTAGATCTAGATGAATATCGGGTTGGTAAACAATAGCCTCGTAAGGAACATCAAAGAGTGGATTTATTTTACATTGAAAGATTGGGTAAGGAAGCTGAAGAAAAATTACAAAACTTCTAAACAAGCAGGGAGAGTCCTTATGGGTCCAGTATCGGTCAGATGAGATGTACTCTGAAAGAAGATGCAATTTAGGAATTAGGGGATGATCTGAAAGCTGGCAGATCTTAAATAAGAATCTGTCTGAAAGGTATTGCCTTCTTAAGCTTAAAGGAGCTACACGCACTCAACCTGAAGAACATTTATTGGTGAGGATTTCATTGCCCCTGTAATAATGCGAAGGCATTTCGATTGAATTTTGTCCATTACTTTCAGGGATGATTTATTGCAAGGCTCCAACAGAAAACATCCATAGTCAAGGTGGCTTCGTATTAAAGTATTGTACAGTAATTTCTGAGAAAAAGGATGGGACCCCCACCAAACACCAAACAAAGACCGAAGAATATTTATGTTTTTTTTGCATTTTTGTGTTATATATTCAATGTATGGACTGAAGGCCAATTTCGAATCAAGGATAACTCCCAAAAAATTAACATTGCCTCTAACTGGAATAGGTTGCTTATCATATACAACAGATATATCGGGAACTCGCCTTCGGCGGGAAAAGATCGCCACACTACTCTTGGCCACAGATAAAGAGAGGCCATGATTAGTTAACCATTCTTGTAAATAATCCATGGATGAGTTCAGACAGGAACATGCCACTGTGAAGTTGTTTAAGGAGATGTATAGAGCTAAATCGTTTGCATATTGAAGAACATTACAAAAAGAATTTACTGAAAGTTCTAAATCGTGAGTATATAGAATAAAGGAGAGGACTAAGAACTGAGCCTTGTGGAAGTCCTTTCCATATAGTTTTTGGGGGAAGCAGGAAATTTTTAACATTTATAGGGATTGATCTAGAAGAGAGAAAGTTAGAGACGTAATTGACTATCCTCACTGGAATGCTCAGATTAAGCATTTTCTGCCTGAGCACAGGAAGAAGCACATTATCATGTGCAGAAGAAATATCCAAGAAAACTCCTATGAGAAATTCATGTTTTGAAAAAGCAATATGAATATCTGTGACTAAAGTAGTAAGGCTATCCATGGTACTTAAACCTTTTCGGAAACCGTATTGGCTTTTAGGTAAGAGATTATTCCTTTCCAAAAGCGATTTTTTATTAAATGTTCCAGGATTTTTGCCAAAGTACAAGAAAGGGCAATAGGTCGGTAACTGGAAGGGTCATTGCTAGACTTACCTGGTTTGTGAATGGGCAAAATAATTTCGGTTTTCCATTCAGCAGGAGGATCACCAGTAACATAAATAAAATTTAAAATAGATAGTAAGACAGTTTTAGTGTTCTCACTGCTATTAATTATAAACGAATAAGGAATCCCATCAATACCTGGTGCGGAGTCTTTAAGGCCATTGAGTACAGTAAACAATTCCTGAGAAGAAAAGGGGGAATCAAATTTATCGTTTGTTTTTAAAAAAAGCGGAATTAAAAACTAAGCATTCACCATAAGATGGGACTGTTTGTGGTGCAAGTTTATAAGAGAATTCATCATCCACAGGGAAGGATCATTAGAAATTATATTTTCACTAGAAACTGCACAGCGATATTTTTTAACATTTCTCCAGACCAAAGATGGGGGAGACCTAGGTGACAATGACTCACAGAATTTAAACCAACCAGTTCGCTTTTTGTCTGACAGTAATTTTAAGGTTTCTGCAGCAATTTTTTTATAGGAGATATAATTCTCTGCAGTCATAGAACAGGAGTATATTAATTCAGCCTTTTCTTTTCTTCTCCTACAAGCTGCTGAACAATCTTTGGTCCCACCAAGGAGGGGAAGGATAATTATTTTGAAAAGTTTTTTTTAAGGGGATTGACTTATTAGCAGCAGAAATAATTGCATTTCTGAACTCTATATATACATGAGCAATATTATCATTGTTAATTGGGGGAAGAGTTGAAACCTCATGTTCCAAAACTGTAGAATATAATTGCCAATTAGCTTTGGATAGATTATACTTTAGTCTTGGGCAAAATGTAAAATTTATTTTAGGTGTAGTAGGAAGGAGGAGTGATGAATATAGGAAAGTCACTGCCATAGCTAGAAGGTAATATTTGCCACAAAAGAAGGGAAGCAATATCTGGGGAACAGAGAGTTAGCTCAATGGCACTTCTAACATTTTGTAATGTCAACGGGTAGGAGACCCGTCATTTAGAATACAGAGATTAAAATTATCAATAAGATCTAAAAATAAGGGAGCCAGTGAATCACACAGATGGGAGCCCCAAACAGTATGATGCATATTAAAATCTCCCAAAATAACCATAGGAGGTGACAGAGAAGAAATAAGTGTTGCAAGTTCTGTTAAAACATTTACATCAGGATTAGGAATGTAAACAGAGAGAATAGAGATATCAAGGGCCTTAATAGCAACAGCATTTACTGCTGGACTATGAGAAGGGTGAGGAATTTGTGATAATGTAACTGTTCTTGAAATTAAAATAGAGGTGCCAGCACGACCATCACTCCTATCATCCCGGAGGCATGCGTAGCCTGAAACCCTAAAATGAGACTCAGGCCTATGCCATGTCTCCTGGATGGCAAGAATGAAGGGATGAAGTTTATTAATGAGGTAAGAGAGTTCATTTTTTTATTTCTAATGCTCTGACAATTCCATTGAAGAATTGGTGGAACTGCGAATGTTACAGGCTAAGGAGGAAAGCTGAGTAAGTTTTTGGTGTAAGCTGAGAGGAAGTTCCGTGTCACTAAAACGAGAGATCATGTTAATTAGCATTGATATCATAAGTTCGCAGAAATTATCATTACTAGAGGAGTTGTTGTCATTTCCCAGTAGAGCACACCCATTAGGAAGGGAAGAATTAGGATTCTCAACAATTGCCTGATGGGCTGCCATATCATATCCAGAATTTAATGATTGGCTGCAGGTATGTTGAGGGATAAAAATTGTTTTTTTATATGATGCAGTTTGTGAGAGCTGAGCTGAAGGGGTTGAAAGACTGTCAGTTATAGTATAAGGGGTCTGTTGAGAACAATTACGAGGCTGGATTCTTGTTGTATCAGCAAAGGATCTTTTTGTCTGAGGGAATCTAGCTGAAGCTTCTAAATATGAAATATTTTCTTGTGACATAACAAGTTTAATAGATTTTTGCCTTAGATGTTCGGGACACGTAGGGTCTTTTGCAGTGTGGGGACCAAAGCAAAATAGGCAAGTAGGAGTTTGTCAAGTACAAGATAAACTTTCATGATTTTGTGCACATACAAAGCAGCGAGGGGATGATCGGCACTGGGAAGTAACATGACCAAATCTACAACATTTATGACACTGAATTAGTGGCAAAACATATTTTTCCACTGGCATTGAGGTGTAAAAACAGTAAATAT